AATGAACATTTAACTGATTAACTAGTGATTCATGTTGTGTTCAAAATGAACTAGAAAGTTGAAGCTAAACTGCTAAAGTACAGCAAAATGTTCTAGTTGGGAAACATAAGAAACAAAACTAGATTCTATCAATAATCATATTGGTATAGTACCAACCATGTCAAGCAAATGACACATGTAATATCATACAAACCCTAAAGTCTGATCTCAACATAAATGTCCATTAGGCTGTTATTTAACAAGACTAGTCAGTAAACCTTTTAACTGATCAAAACGAAATGGGATGAAACTAATCGTAATATTTGCAACTTCTTTATATCTATTTTTTTCCAAGAATGGAATTTATTTTGTATTTAAAAATCAGTGCTCCAATTTTTCAAAACTACAAATTTCTTCATGTTGAGTTATCTCTTCATTTAAAAAAACCTATGAATGTATTTTGTAATTCTTTTCCCTGACCTCTAAAATTTCTAAATTCTTTAGTGAATTTGTTCTTGTTTAGGATTCACAATGGTTATCTTTAACAGGCCTAGGTAGAAGGCAAAATGCTTCAGCTACAGAGAACAAAAAGTAAAGCATTTCTCCTTGACAAGTGCCTAAAGAAAATTTATCCTATGTGATTTGTTTTCTGACATGATTACTGCATTACCTTCTTATCATAAAAAGGTACATTATAAATTGAAATAACCCAATAATAGTTTCCTATATTGTCCTTAATTGTCCATAGAGACATTAAATAATCTGCTATCTCATCAAACCTCAAATAACGTGGAATCTCATCAAAAGACATATATTATGAATAAAAGTACAGATGACAGCCCATCCGTGACCACACACACACACACACACACACACACACACACACACACACACACACCGCCCAGGATTTTATATCCATCAGTGCTATACAGGAGACCTGCTCGATCTGCTAGAAGTCTTCCTCTAGCTCTTTTTACATTTAGAGAGGATTGTTGGAGTACTCAAGTGATCAAGTATTTTATTAATAGTATCTGACCAGCTCTCTTTTGCAATAAAATATTTACTCAATGATGTTCCTTACACGACTCATATCAAACTCAGTGGACCACTTACTAAGAAAATCACCAATTAACATCATCTCTGTTCTACTGTCTTTTTATTTATTTTACTAAACATTCCCAATTACATTTTAGCCTGCAGTGAGTATGACACCTTCACCTTACACAGAATGAGTCTGCGTCACAAATGAAAAGAAGATGCAGCTTAGTAGTCTCTCCAATGCTTTGAGTCACAGATTAATACAGCTTAAACTCATTTGAGACACAGAACTTCCTAAGGTTCCCACATTACTGTGATACAAGTAGAGCTCATCTTTAAAACCTTTTAAAGAATAACAAGAAAATTTAACAAGTTTTGAGAGCTAAATATCAAATAGTATTATCTAACCTGCAGTACTGCTCAGAAAGGTCATTTCTGTCTTTCCCAATATCCTGCCCAATCACCTTCTCCACGGGCCTACATACAGCATTTAATTCTTGTACTACATTTTCAGTCTTCATTCTATCCCTCCATGTTTTCTAGATCTGCTCTTAAGTCACTTCAACTTTACTTTCAAAGACAGTGCGGCTAATCAGTATATCCCAGGTGTCCAAACCATTTAAGATTGTTTAGACTACACCTCCCCCCCCCCCCCCGCCCAAAAAAACCCCACAGAGATCACTTACAACTGATTTGACAAATATCAACCAATCTATTTTCAGCACAATTATCTAAATATCTAATGAGTCAGTGAGATGCAGCATTCAATTTGTACTTCACTACAAGTCTGAATATTATAAAATAGAAATATTCTACTATATTATTTCATCCTAAAAACACCAACCTTGTTATAATGCTTGCTACATAGGAGGGCAATTTTAATATAAACTAGGTTAGGCTGGTTTACTCTAAGACCACATGAAAGGAAATTGGTTTATGTATGTGAAGAACTAGAATAGGGATCTTTAACATTTTTTGTTAGGAACTTTTTCTTAAGAATGTTTTTAAATGTATAAGTGCACATGCATTAAGAACATTTGCCATTTATCAATATCTTACTAAAGGGAGCCCAAACATTTCCACATTTAACATTTGCTATCACCAGTTTCACAAAGTGGTGAATGGCATAAGGAATGGAAGCCAGATTGTGAAAATAATAGAACCATTATTAAGTCTGGTGGCAATAGATTCCTCTAAAGGAACCAGCTTCTCTGGCTTCCTTCAAGTCCCAGACAAAATCCCACCTCCTATAGGAAACCTTTCCTGCTGCTCTTCCATAATGTTAGTGCCTTCCCTCTATTACTTCCAATTTATCCTCTACATACAGCTTGTTTGTACATAGTTGTTTGAATGTTATCTCTCCCAACAGACTGTGAGTTCCTTAAAAGGTGGGATTGTCTTGTTTCTTTTTGTAGCCCCAGTGCTTAGTACGGTGCCTGGCACATAGTAGGAATTTAATGTTTACTGACTCCAAAAGCAAAATTTGCAGTTTGGGCCCTTCACTGGTTTACTTTTTTAGAGGTACAAATTCCACTGGGTGCCAGAATATAGAATATTTTCAAAGACCCTCCCCTTTCCTGAAAGTGGGAAGGCAATTACAACCTAACAAAGCCCAAATTTCACCGTAGAAAATGCATCCCACAAATTTACACTCTTAGCAAACGTTTGTTTGGAGTTGAGCATCTCAAAAAAAAAATTAAAACAAAATATGTTGGATGTTGCAAATGTATAACTCATATCAAACTGCTTGCCGTCTTGAGGAGGGGGTAGGGAAGGAGAAAAATTTGGAACTCAAAATCTTATTAAAAATGAATGTTGAAAACTATCTTTACATGTAACTGGAAAAAATAAAATCCTACTTACAAAAAAAGAAAAGAAAGAAACAAAAAATGTTGGGGCAGCAAAGTTGCACAGTGGTTAGTTAGCACACTGGTCAGCATTCTGGTCAGCACACTGGTCCTGGAGTCAGAAGGACCTGAATTCAAATTCAGCCTCAAACACTTACTAGCTGTGGGACCCTGGGCAAGTCACTTAACCTCAACTGCTTCCCTGAAAACAGGAAAAGAAAATGTGTTCATAATTAAGTCCATCATTTCTAGTAAAAGAGACTTATTCTTTTGAGCCTGTAAGACACATCACTACTACCATTTTCTTCTGTGAAAATACATTATTCTAAGTTTTCATTAATGGAGATGAGGATTGTCTATGACTTCAATGGTATAAGGAACTCTTGAATAAGGAAATTCCCTCTACCAAAGCAGGTTAGCACCTCCTCTGCAATTTATAGTCACAGAGAGTTGTGTGGAGCACTAACAGGTTAAGTGACTTTTCCAGGGTCACATAGTCAGTGTATGTCAGAGGCAGGACCAGAAGAACTCAGGATTTCTTGGTTTGCAGAAGAGCTCTCCATCCATATTAACTACCACCAGCATAGGTTATCTATAACATTCCACTGAGAAAATGTATATTAGTGATGTAGAGAGGATAAAAATAAGATAACGTTCATGGTCTTTGTCACCAAGCAAGCCCAAATATAACATGAAAAAAGGTCAGACATTTTTAAAACACTTTTCACCTATCAAACTATGAGCACTGTTCCTCTTAGAGAAGTTAAGGTCACAAAAAGTTTCAGACCAAGTATCAAAAACACAAGTCCTATATGTTTAGCATAGGCCTGGAATAGAAATAGCAGCATTCTCTCTAATTCAGAAGAGTATCACTAAAGATAAAAATAATTTCCTCAACAGTTTTAAATGTTTCAACAACACTTTTAAGTAATGGCCCCAAGAAGACAAACTTACTGCTAAGAAATTGACTTTCAAAATATCCTGGGTATTAGTTGTCATGAGCAGCTAGCTACTTTTAAGCCTCACACCTTCATATAATAAACTACTATCAGATGATTCCTGTGACACTAGATTTTTTTCGATGCGATGTTGCAAACACTGTACACAAGTTCTTTTGTCTATCAGTATGAAAGAAAACTTCGGTCAAAAAACACTGGACTTAAACCTTCAGTACCTTAGCCTTTAGCTACAGCTCATTTTCAGACTTCCAACTTTGGCCTTCCACTAGGAAGCGCAGACTGTCATAAAGCAACCATCTATCACCAAGTCTAAAGATTTCCTTTCCCCCCTTTACAATATTCCCTTCACTAGCCAGACTGATTAGGCAAGGTGTTTTGACAGGAAGATTTTTGTGCTGCCTCTTCTATTTAAAACAAAAAATGACACACACTAAACAACTTTTAAGGACAACTCCAAAAAAGGCAGGAGATTACTTTGCTAGAATGCCTCTTACACCAGCTCAGGGCTCTGCCCTCGATAAAGAAAAGCAAATAGGGCATTGGGATATAATTTAGGAAGTGATTATGCAAGCTTCTGGGGCGGGGAGGGGGGTGGAAGGGAAGAGAGGAAATACCCTCTTGCAGCCTGGGCACAAGCCCAGACCCCAACCGAGATGCTGGAGGGGGATGGGAGAAACTCTTTGCTGGGGGGCGGGGAGGACGACCCGTCTGGCACCGAGAGCGGCAACTACGCGCGGCATTCCCTCCCCCATCAAGAAGGGGGGTATAGAAGAGTGGGAGGGGGGCAGAAAAGAAGGAAAGGGGGACACAAAGGTTCGAGGGGAAGGGGACAGAAAGGTTCGGGGGGAAGAGGACAGAAAAGTGGGGAAGGGATAAAAAGGTGCAAGGGGAGAGGGCAGAAATGTGCAGGAGAGAGAGTAAGAAGGTGAAAGGGGAGGGGGTTGCAAAGGTGCAGAGTAAGAGGACAGAAAAGTGGGGGGAGGGGGATAGGAAGGTGGGGGAGGAAGGAGGAGCCCAGGGCACAGCTCCCTCCCCCTCCCCGGTCCAGGCCCGGCCTCGGGACACTACCCCAGCTCCCCCCGTAGGCCCGACCAGGGCCTAACACTGCGTCCCCCGCCCCCGGCCCCTGCCCACCCCGTGCCGACCCCAGCGTCCCAGCCCCGACCCCGGCACTCACCCCCAAAAGCCGCAGGGGCATCGCGGCGGCAGGCTGGGCGCTTTGCTGCGCTCGCTCCCGGCGTCTCCCATGGTGCTCGGCGGCAGCGGTGCTCGGCGGCGGCGGCAGCGACGGCGGCCGGGGCCCGTGGAGGACGAGGCGGAGGCGGAGGCGAAGGCTGAGGCGGCGGCGACGGCGGCAGCAGCGGTGGCGTCGGGGGGCTCGAGGCGGGGGGAGGGGGAGCGCGCGGGCAGGAGCGAGTCCGGGGCTCGGAGCCGGGATTCCAGGCCGGTCAGCTGGAGGCGGGCCGCACCACTCGGCCTGCGGAAACGGGGGTGGGAGAGGCGGTGCGTGGTGAGGGGAGGGGAGCCCGAGAGGAAGGAAAGGAGGTGTGTTGATGGAAGGAGGGACCCACGGGGGAGGAGGGAAGACCGGCACCCTCGGCAGGTCCCACCGCCGCTCCCTGGCCCGAGAGATGTCCCCGTGCCGCGGCGCTGGCCCCCCTGGTCCCTCCGCTCTGGGCTAGCGGCAGCCGCGGCGGAGCCCCCGGGGTCCAGCTTACTCCGTAATACACACACCCGGCCCGCCCCTCCCCGGAGGCTGCGCTGACCGGACAATGGCCGCTTCCTCCTCCCCCCTCCTCCTGCCCCAACTTTACTGCCCCACCCCTCCTCTCGGGTCGAGAATGGTCTCGCCCGGGGGAAGAGCCGACGCCAAGGCCCCAGCAGCTGATCAGCTGGGATCCGGGCGTGCCACTCTTTCCCGGCTCCGCGAAAGAGAGGTCGGGAGGGAAGAGGAGGAGAAGGGAAGCCGCAGGCAGAAACCTGCGCGCCTCAGAACTGTTCGGTCACTTCAGGACAGGCTTGGGAAGCGCCTCGATATTTCTCACATTTTCAAAAGGAATCACTCTCTCGCGCTTTCCCTTTCTCCAAGAAAAAGGGAACAGGGCTCCTGAGTACCTGGAGGAGTATCCTTGCTTCCCCACCTCCGTGAGAGTGGTAGATGCAAGGAGGGAGGGAGGGGGGAGGGGAGGGAGTAGAAGCGGTTGTTTAGGGTGAGAGGGGGACCATTCCCTGGAGCAGGAGTGACCGGGTGCGCATGCGTCCGGGGAAACCCTTTCTCCTCCTGCGGCGACCTGGGTCGGGGGGAGGGGCCAAGAGTCTCCTCCCGGAAGCGAGTGGGCGGGATCTGATCCTGTCTCCTCTCCCCCACTCCTTCACTTCTCCCTCCTCTCTCTTCTCCCGGAGTTTCTGAATTGCAGGTGGTCACCGACTTGGACCTCCCCGTTATCCTTTTCCCGTGAGCGTGTTTCTATGCCTCGAGTCACCCAGAGCGAAGAATCCAACCTAACTCCCCGCCCTTTCCTACCTTTTTTGCCTTTCTTTGTATTCCAGCGCTTAGCACTCGGTTTGTGGCTCTAGTAATCGCTTTAATAGATGCTCTTTGACCTGGGATCCACAGGGTAGCAACCTGCCCCACCCCCTTCCTCTGAGATGTTTGATTCCCAATATCACCTGGAAATTAACCCATTTCTTCACTACCACGACAAAGGACAGCCTTAAGCTTTTTCTTCCAAACTTACCCCTTTTTTAAAAAAAAAAAAGACATACAGGTTGATGCGCTTAAAAAATAAGCTTTTGCTGACCCCCTCCCAGATCCTCGCATCCAGCTCCCAGGAAGCACCCCATTTCCGTTTTTTCCTCAGATCCCAGTTTCCTCAGATCCCACTCAAGAAACTTGAGTGAAAGGGAGGATTTGGTGTGACCAGGTTGATTTTCGGGAAGGAGATTCTTCTAAATAGCTCTGAGCAGCCTGGGAGGGGTGGGTGGGGGAGCTGGAGAATTGGAAACTAGAAAACAGGCTTCCTCAGTTCCAAAATAAGAACTAAGAACTGTCCCTCTGCCCGCCATTTCAGATGATAATGTTTCTTGTTTCTTTTCCTTTATTTTAAAAGTCACTGTGGTCCAAAGTATATTGTGATTAGAAACCCATTGGTGTCTCCTAGAGGAAGATAATTTCTTACATCCCTCTCCCCCTAATCACTTTTAACTAAGATCCATTGTTAGGCAAAATCTTTAAAAGCCCAGACTTTCTCTGTCTACAGTAGATATCCCTGTTTCTTCCCACCTCCAGAGATGGTTCTAAGACAGTACACAAGATTTCCTTTCCATATATCCAATGTAAATATATTCCAGCCTTGCCATTTTATTCCTATATAAATATCTTGTCACTTGTATTTTCAACGTATCTGTTGGTCTTTAAATTAATAAAGGGCAGGAATCGCATCTACTTAACTTGCTACCCTTCTAAAGGAAGAAAATGATGACAATAAAACAGCTACAGCCAGGGTGTTGTTCCCTAACTTAACTTATAAAATTATGCTTGATAATTTACAGACTACAAATAAATATACAATTCATAGTATTAATGAAGCCATAATAGTACCAGCTGTCCTACTTCCCTTAAATCTACACTGAAAAGTGACATAAAATTGCTATATTCTTGAGAGAATGGATTTCAAGATTAGTAGAATGGGAATAAAGTTATAGGAACATTAGCATCTTAATGATTTGTGATGGGGAAACATTATTAGAAAGGAAATATTGATTAAAAAACACAACCTCATAAATTACTTAGTATTCATGTAACCACTAGCTTACCTGTCCCTACTGAGTGGGTAAGTGATAGCCAGAGATCTGAAACCAGGGAGAAATTGTACCAAAATCAAGAATTAAGCTTCTGTTTCCACTTCTGTTGTAAAAGGTAATCATTTGTTAGTTGTAAATGAAAGCTATAAGATGTTGAAGTAGGGTTGAGCTTATGCGAGTCCACCAACCTTGTAAGAACTTGGGAGAACTAGGGCATTTCCTAGTGGATTGTGCTCCAAGCTTAGGTCATAAAGGAGGTTCTGAAGATTCCAATCGGGGGCACCCTTGTCATAGAGCTCTGGACGGGCCAAACATCCAGGAAAGGGAGTATCCTACTAATTGCCCTGTTGCCCATAGCTGCCCAGGGGATTTGTAGTTAGTTCCCTATCCCCAGAATGCCTTGGGATGATTCAGGAATAAAGAGAAGTATGCCAATATTTGTGGTTTAAGTACCTGGTTGCTGACTTGAAAGCCATTACCCAACCAATATGACCTTAAAGCCGAATTCAGGGTCAGAGTCCTTCATAGCCAACCTAGATCCCCAGAATTAGGGCTTCTGCTCCAAGAGGCAATGCAGTACACAATGGAGACCGTAGCTGAGTTTGGATGTTAGTGGGCCTAGATTTGAAACCCTGCTCTGCTACACTGAGACAACCTCTCTGGGCCTGAGTCTCTTCATCTGTAAAATGAGAACTTTCTTATCCTAAATCTATGATTCAATTCACACTCCAGTGAAATGTTTGCAGTTAGTGGCTAAGTAGAAGCAACAACAGATAGAGTTGACTCACCTTAAATACCTATGGAGAGGGAGGTGGGTTAGTCACTTGTAAGCTGGTTAATCATTTAATGATCACGCTGTTTTGAAATGGGTGTTTTGAAATGGGTGAGGTTTATCCAGCACTGATGAGGTCTTTTAATATGTTGAGATTAAATGGAAGACCTCTCAAAGGATAAACTGTGTGGTACTTTGAAAGTAGTCCAGTATTTGGCCTGAGAGGATCTGGGTTTGAATCCCAGTTCTATTCCTTTAACATCTCACCCCTAATCTGGGCCTCAGTTTCTAAAATAGTAAGGTTGAATTAGATTGATTTCTAAGGTTTCATCCAACTCTAATCTATGAGGCCAGGTCAAAACACTGAAATCCACTTTTTAAGAGAAATTCAGTTGGGGAGAAGAAAGAAATGCTCAACTAGAGTAAGGGGTAGGGAAAAGGGGAAGAAGAAACAGGGTATTTATCAATTTCCTATGCAAAAGAACAGCACTTCTCAAAGTATCATCTAAAGATCCCTAGGGATCCCCAAGATACTTTCAGGTGGGTCTGTAAAGTCAAAACTATTTTCATAATAATACTAGGATGTTATTTGCCTATTCAAATGCTCTTTTTTTTCCCAACTACCTGTCATATAAGGAGGGAAGAGAACAAGATTTATTAAGTGGCTCCTATGTGTCAAGCACTGTGCTAAGTCCCTTACAAATATTCTCATTTGATATAATTCAACCAAAACCACATCACAACAGTTTAAATACAGAAGCAGATATGACCCAGATGTCTTCTGTTAAATCAGAAATGAAAGAGTTTTGTGAAAATAATGTAAAACAAATTTGAAAATATAATTATTTTTCACAAAATATGTTAACATGTAATACCTCTGTTATTTTAATAAATACTTTTAAAACAGTTTTGTTTTGTAATTTAGTAAACATTAATAGAGATATTAACACAAATTTAAATGAAATGATTAATGGTTGAGCTCTTTGAAGTCCTCAGTAATTTTTAAGAATATAAAGGGGTTCCACGACCAAAAAGTTTGCAAACCCCTGTAGTAAAGGATATAGAACCTGCTTGCAAGTCAGGAAGAGCTGCATTCAAATCCTGCCTCTGATCACATACTGGTTGTGTGACCCTAAGCCAAGTCAGTGGCTACCTCTAACAGTTCTTTAAGATACAAATTACAGAACAGCTACTAGCATCCTCTAATCCAAGGTTGCCTTCTTTCTGCTTAGTATGTGGTGTTTCATCACCACCCCATCCTCCATGGAACTTGGTCATTTTAGCCAGTCCTTCTGTTGTCACTTTCTTTTGTTCTAATGTTTTCCTACTATATTCAAGGTATCGTCCTATGCCACAATCAGTCCTTGTTGACTCATGGGGAATACATCATATAAAGGAATAGTTAAATACAAGATAATTTGAGGAGGGAGGGACCACTAGTCAAGGGAATCAGGAAAGCCATCTGAGCTGAACCTTGAAGTAAACTGAAAATTATGAGAGTTGGAAGTGAGGAAGGGAAATATATTCTAGGCACAGGGAATAAGTTGTACTAAGGAGATGGAATGCAAAATTCAAGGAACAACATGTTTGTTTACTTCGCTGGGACATAAGAGTGAAATATCCCAGAGGCAATAGGGAGACTGAAGATTCTTGAACAGCAGAGAAGTGCCAT